CATGACAAGGCCAAGCCTTTCAATTGCAAGAAAATAAATCCACCAAGTATGTTTTGCATGAATATTTTTGCAATTTCTGTAGTCAACAAAGAAGCCAAACTTACTGGATGCCTCGGATCAGCAAGCATCGGAAAGAGGCCTCTAACTATGAGCGATTGTCTTGCCTGCAGAACAAGGATACAAGAAATATGAGCTACAACAGCTAAGCGTTAACCAAACAAGACAAGCTAAACATCTGTATAGAAAGTTAGAAACAGATCATGGACATAGTAGAAAAAGAAAGGCTGATCACGTACTTCAAATGCGCCAGTGAAACTCCACCTCAGTTGATTTGTTTTTAGACGAGGAATGACAACAGATAGAACAGGCATGGTTGGCCTATACTTGGCAATTAGCCTGCAGATAGTACAGATGCCAGATTAGAGATGATATTAGTTTTCCATTAAGATACAAACTTATCTTATATTCAGTCTTTCTACCTTGCAGCACGTCCAGATGATGTGAAGCAAATTATGACAGACGCCTTCACTTTAATAGCAGCTCGCACCTAGAAAATAGTGAAGGAACCAGTTCAGACTAAAAAGAAAATGCTTGCCTCATAGACTTAAATCAATGGAATATGAGAAAATGTGTTCCGTGTGAACAGCATTAAATGAAGTCTGAAACATGAAAAGAACCAAAGAACACACCGCAGAGGAAGCAATAGACTCCAAGTGGGTCATGGGCTCCCCCACATGTTTCACAGTTCTCTTGAAGTATAAATCTTGGTTGAAGACCTTCTCAGCCTGCAAAACAATGGATGTCATATGCCATTAACTTGATGATGCTAACAAACTAATACAGAACGAAAATTGGGCAGAAATGATTTTGCCTTATACATGTTAAACATTGTAAATAAAAACATATTTAGGAAGAAAATTCACCTCAGCACAAATTTTACCCACTATTGAAATAGTCTCAACTGGGTATAAACCACGCAGAGTCTCAGCACCAAGGAGAATGGCATCACTCCCTAAACAATAGAAGTATGTTAAACTATCAGAAGGCAATTGAAAATTTAACATTACCAATAGCTCAAACAACTCACCGTCAAGCACTGCATTTGCCACATCCGTAGCCTCTGCACGAGTAGGCCTGAGGTTGTCAGTCATACTGTCTACAACACGAGTAACAACAGCAGGCTTTCCAGCCATGTTGCACTTGTGCAGAGCAGACTTTTGAAATAAAAACACCTACAGTATGAGCAGCAAAGGTCAAAGAGCAAAATAAATAAAGTATAACTAAACCAAAGACAAGTATTGCACCATAATTTGAGAAAACTACAATTCTTGTTAATAAGGTACTAAGTGTAGCGGATGTACAATTAAGCAGTGCCTTCTGATGTGCTCGACGTAAGCTAGAAATACTAACCTTTTCAGGTGGAAGATCAATTCCAAGGTTTCCTCTTGACAGGATGATACCATCAGCTTCTTGGAGGATTTCATCAAAATTATTCAACCCCTGCAAAAATAGATAGGGGGTTGATAGGCTGTACAACAAACAGAAGCTGGCTCAGAGATGTTAAAAGTGCATGTTGTAAATACCTCCACATTCTCGATTTTTGCAAAAATCTGGGTCTGGCTAAGGTCACCTAACTTTGAGAGGAATTCACGTGCCTGTATTGAAACGAAAGATGTCAGCACTGTTTAGAACTTCCTTTTCAAGTACCAAATGAAAACATACAGGAGATCACATATTTGGATATAGCAATGCCATGTTTTCAATGAATGGTTACTTCCAAGGACAAAACACCGGGAACGTTGAGAAAAAAATGTATTACCTGTCGCACATCTTCTACATGTCTTGTATAAGAAAGAGAGAGGAAGTCAATCTTGTTTGGGGCACCCCATTTTCTGATAACCTGAAAGCAGTACATGCTCATAAGCATTTAAGGCATCGGACAGATTTTGAGTAAGGTGCTCCAAAAGGAAAAATATATAACATTTTACTTAATTCCATAAAGGACAGATTTTGAGTAAGGTGCTCCAAAAGGAAAAATATACAACATTTTACTTAATTCCATAAAGGAAGACATCAAATACAAATACATAAGGAGATACATATCACTATTCTGAAATGAGTTCCTTACCTCCTTGTCCTCATCAGATAGGGTAGGTAAGTCGATGTGAATCTGCGAGCAATGCAATGTGAAGAGCGACCCAGCCAGAGTTGCTGTGTTTTTTATCACACAGACCACATCATCTCCTTTAATTTGAGAAACCTAAACCAGACAAATTAGAGTTTTGGTATCGGAAAATGTGGGCACAAAGCAAATCCTACTGACAATGACATAAGAAAAAAAAATGCAGAACGCTAAGCGCAGTATGCCGAATATTTTTACCTCTAACCAAACTGAAGTAGTCTCACTGCCTGTGAACAAGTATTGCCCAACAAATATTGTGTCACCTGGCTTCACAGCCTGCAAACAAAACAATAAGTCATTTTTTATATATCAAACAGAGCATATGCTGGAAATCGCAGTGACAAAATAGCAAGTTCCATAAAAGAAGGACCTATCTATTTGCAACCATTCATACACAGCATAATAAGATTTTGCATAAATAGCACTGAAAGGTACTCCTACCTATGCGCTTGCAACCATTCATGCACAGCGTAATAAGATTTCGGAAAAAAAAAAGAACTGAAAGGGAGTATTACCTTAGCAAGCCCAGCGAAGTTAATTGGCAGCACTTGTGAGGAGGCCTCCTGCCCCTGGTCAGGGGTGAGAATAACAGTGCCGTTCTCCTCGAGGGAGATGGAGGCTTCGCTCTTGTTCACCACCTGCAACTCTGGGCCGACCGTGTCAAGCATGACCTGCCAATGCCAATGGAGTAGAGTACCCAAAATGTCAGTATGCAAAAACAGCAAAAGCAAACACTAAGAGACCATGACCGTGAATGAATCAAATCGAATCGAATTGCAGTAAATCTGAAGGCGGTGAGGAGGGGGGCTCACCGCGCAGAGCTTCTTGGTGGACTTGATGGCGACCTTGAGGTTCTCAAGGGTTTCCTGGTGGTACTCGGCGTCTCCCCACGAGAAATCAAATCGGGCCACTGCAATTCGCACCACACAACACCAACACCAACACAAGAAGGTTAAGAACAGCTCGATCGAGCAGGAGATGGCGAAGCAAGCAGATTGGTTACCCGACATGCCGGCCTTGAGGCAGGAGGAGATGGTGTCGACGGAGCGCGACTTTGGCCCCAGCGTCCCCACGATCTTGGTCATCGCCGGGAAGAAGCTCTGTGCATTTTTTTCCCCGCAGATCAATCGAATTTAGGGTTCATCAACAAAAAAAAACCAAACAAATCTGAAGCGAAATCAAAGCATTCGAGCAACTTACGGGCTTGGATGGCTCCAGGATGGATGCCATCCTGATGGGCTCCTCCAGCAGCAGATTCGTCGAATGCATCTTGCCCTTCTTCGCTTCGCTCCTCCTCGGATCAGATCGAGAAAAAAAATAAATAAAAACCTAACGGCGGCGGTGGCGGCTCTTGTTCTTCTTCCTCTCCAAGCAATCAAGAGAGAATGGCCTTCTCTCTCTTTAAATCCTCTTCTCTAATTACAGCGACTCCGCCCTTTAAACGTGGCGCCTCCAAGAAAAGGGAAATCTCGAAGAAAGGGTTAAGTAGTGATAAAACGAGCTGCGAATAAACGGTGGATGGTGACGCGCCGCGCCGCACGCGGGTTTGGACCCGCCGCTGGGTTAGCTCTGGACCGTACGATGCGCCGCGATGGATGGATGGATGGATGGGTGGTGGTGGGCCGAGCCGCCGAGACTGGTCCGGCCCATCAAAACCGTCTGGTGCCAGCGTGGCGGGCCGTGTTCCGATGCATCGGTCAAACTCTTTCCGCTTTTCTTCTACGCTTCCAATGGACATGGTCTTCGTGGTCTCGTGGGGACCACTGATCGGTCTCTACAGTGTCTACATGTGTTTTTGTTTTTTTTTTTTCGTAAGGAATTTTGTTTACGTTTACCTAACGATGTCAACGTAGTTGTCGGCTCATTTTTTTTCTTTTTCGTCCTGGACTACCATTTTCATACAAGATGCTTCTGTTTGACCGGATTGTTCTGTTTCCAATAGACTACTTTTAGTCTTCTAGAACAGATACGAATTTGTATTTGGCTTAGCAGTTGGCATTAGCAAACCTATATGTCATTGTTTTATGAGGCAGGATTGCTGGTCATTTTTGCTACTGGTATTGATTAATCAGGGTAGCTCAATCGTTCTTTCGGAAAGCATCTGTCTTATGTTCTCAACTCACCCCTTCCGTTTCGTGTTAATAGTATGTTTTGTAAAAACAATTATAACAAAATTGCTTTAAAAATCATATTAATTCTTTTTAATCATGCGTTACTCTATCACACCACTTTGCGTGTAGAGGGATGGTTCCCAACCTCCTCAAGAAGAACACAGGCTAACTAATAGAATAATAATGCAAATGCTAATTTTCAACCGAAATAGTACTATAGTCTACAGTCATCGTCTGGCGTGAGCATGCCATGAACTTCACACCCCAAAATGTTGTACAACATACGCAATCCGCTTCAAAGAAAAAAAAAGAACAAAATGATGATGTGATAGTAGTAGAAGATTGCCCATATTCTCATTTTTATAGCATTTTAGTATGTCACAAAACGACATTCGCTAATAGAAACAAAGAAACAACCATACCGACTACTTCCTTCATCCAAAAATAAGTAAGTATTTTTAGCATATATCAAGTCAAATATTTATAATTGTGACTATTAATAGCAAAAAAAATAAAAAAATCAATAATGTAATTGATGGTAATTTATCATTAAATAAACTATAACAATATACAACTCTTTTTATTTAAAACATTTTACTTTTTATTTAAAATATTTTACTTTTATATAGATATTATTGATCAAACTAGTATCTCGAAGACTGTGTCAAAGTTAAAAATAGAGGAGTATGACAAACGCAAACAGAGTATAGCAGCAACTGCCAGCGTTCTCCAGGAGCATGCATTCGACATCATAATCCAAAATTATCTTACAAGAACACAAGCACCATCTTCCAAGCACAGGCACATCGACAATTCGACATTTCAGCAGAAGTGAAAAGCAGCTCAAGATAATACCAGCTGCAGTAGCAATTTCAGACTTCAGAATGCCAAGATCGAGCAGAGCATCATTTCAGAAATCAGAAAAAATGCAGCAGGCAGAGTTGTTCAGAATTCAGAAAAGAAGATCAATGAGGAGGAGGATGATGATGAGCTAGCAGCTGAGACGACCATCTCCGTCGTCAGTGGTAATGCCGATCGACGGCGACATGGTGGAGATGTCCCTGTCCTCCTCCGGGAACGGCGACTGATCCACCGGGATGCTCTCGATCATCCGCACCACGTCGGCCATGGATGGCCTCTGCTCCGGCTGCGGCGTGACGCACGCCAGCGCGACGTGCAGCATCGCCACCATCTCCTCCTCGATGTCCTTGTACCGGAGCAGCTCCACGTCGAACACCTCCGCCGTCCACTCCTCCCGCACCACCGATCGCACCCACTCCGGCAGGCTCACCGCCGTCGAGCACCTCTTGTCTTTCCTCTGCGCGTCTGCGGCGGCGTCGGCGGCGACGACCGGCGACGGCTGCGGGTACTGCGCCGGCACCTTCCCGGTGAGCGCCTCGAGGACGAGCACGCCGAAGCTGTACACGTCGGCCTCCTGCGACAGCCGCTTGTTGTCCTCCTGCTCCGGCGCGATGTAGCCTCCGAGGCGGGCAATGGCGTGCGCCGGGCTGAGGAGGAGCGCCAGGCCGAAGTCGGCGACGCAGGCGACGCCGTTCTTGTCGAGCAGGACGTTGGTGGACTTGACGTTGCCGTGGGGGATCGCCGACGTGCGGTACTCCCGGTGGACGCATGCCAGCCCGCGCGCCGCGCCGAGGAGAAGCCTCACCCTCGTCGTCCAGTCCAACGGCGACTCCCCCGACATCCGGTGCCCTGACAAACACAATCAATGGCGAGATCGAGCTCATCGTGCCACTCTCATGGCGATTCACAGCTAGGAGGAGGAGACATCAGACATGGATGTGTACCGTGGAGGCGGTCATGGAGGTTGCCATTGGGGAGGTAGTCGTAGATGAGGAGCTTCTCCTGCTTGGCGTAGTAGAAGGCTCGGAGGGGGACGAGGTTTGGGTGGCGGAGGCGGCCGATGAGGTCCATGTAGCGGTGGAACTCGTCGCGGGCGCATGGGTTGGCGTCGCGCAGCCGCTTGACGGCGACCATGCGGCCGTCGCTGAGGACGGCGCGGTACACGGTGCCCAGGCTGCCGCGGCCGACCATCTCCGCCGACGCGCGGAGAAGCTCCTCCAGCGCGAACCTGCTCCTCCTCCCGTGAGGCTGGTGCGGCGCCGCCGTCCAGCCGCCGCCGGTTGCCCTCCTGCCGGCGCTGCTGTCGCTGCCGCCTCCGTCGTCGTCGTCGTCGTCCTCGCCGCCGTCCACCCCGAAGAACACCAGCTTGCTGCGCGCGCCGTCGCTGTCTCCGCCGTCGTCGCTGCGCATGCCGGCGCTGCCTGGCCGGCCTGGCTGCACGCCCTTGCCTTGGCCGAACATCCCGCCGTCGTCGTCATCCTCCAGGCCGACGCGGCCGCCTCGTTTCCTCTTCTTGGGTGGCTCGCCGCCGCTCTCGCCGCCGGTGCTGCAGCAGCAGGACGCCACGAGCAGCGACAGCATGGCGAACAGGAAGAGAGCATTGCCGACGACGATGCCGGCAATGGCGCCGGTGCTCAACCCCCCCTTGCCGGGTCCGTCGCGCGACTCCGGTGTGGCCAACGCCGGCGAGGACGAAGCAACCGACGACGACGACGCCGCCGGGTTCGATGGCACCACGGACTGCGGCGACGACGGGACGGAGGGTGACGTCGGGGCTGGCTCGCGCGGCATGAAAGAGCACGCCGGCAGCGGCGGCGCCAGCCCGCAGAGGCCGGCATTGCCGGCGAACGAGGCGAGGCCGAACTTGGCGCGCATGGCGTCGGGCACCCTGCCGGAGAGCTGGTTGTTGGAGGCGTTGAACTCGGCGAGGCGCGGGAGGGCGGCGGTGACGTCCGGGAGCAAGCCGGTGAGGAGGTTGTCCTGGAGCTTGAGCGTGAGGAGGCCGGTGAGGTTGGCGAGCGCGGCCACCGGGATGGCCCCGCGCAGGCTGTTGTCGGCGAGGTCGAGGCGGAGGAGGCGGAGGAGCCGCGCGATGGCGTCCGGGATGGCGCCGGAGATGTCGTTGTGGGAGAGGTAGAGCAGCTTGAGGTTGGGGACGCCGAGGAGGAGCGTGTCGAGCGTGCCGTTGAGGCGGTTCCCGCGGAGGTCGAGCGCCCGGAGCTCGCCGAGGTGGGAGAGCGGGTCGAGCGGCCCACGCAGGTCGAGCGACGGCAGCGACAGCGACGTCACGCGGCGGCCGTCGCCGGAGCAGCCGACGCCGATCCACCCGCCGGCGCAGGCGTTCGAGGTGCTCCAGTTCGCCGCCAGGATGCCGTGCGCGTCGGCGCCGTTCCGGAAGATGGTGAGCGCGTCGGTGTCGCTCGGCTTCACCTCCGGCTCCGGCTGTGGCACCGCCGCCGCCGCCGCCACCGGCATTGCCAAGCTCGATGCAACCGCCATGATCGCCAAGAACTCCAAAGAACGCAACAACAGCAGCATCGCCATTGTCACCACTGTGCAGCTAGCTGCGAGCACAAGAGCACAGATGATTCTTTTAGCTAGAAAGATTCAAGATTGGCATGGAGGAAAGGGATCACTCAATCACAGGCTCACAGCCATGATCTCTGCTACTGGTACGACCCCCATCGATCTGCATTGGGTGAAGAGAAGCATCGTGTGCTTTCCTTTCTTTCACTTTTGATTTTTGAATTTTTTGATCGATTTTTGAAGCGAGGATAGAACGGTTTTATTGTTGCTTCGGTAAGTGTGAGATGAGGAGTGGTCGCGAGAGCTGTGGCGCCAGTGTCAGATTGACAGTACTGGATGCTTCCACTTTTCACTTTTGCTCTGTTCTTGTCTGCTCCTAGGCCCCTACCAATGCAGATGCAGGCCAAACTGTTCACCAGTTCACCTACACAAACCATCTCGGGCTGGTTTGGTTTGAGGAATAAATTAGACTTACCAATATTTGTCAATTTCAACAGTGTTTAGTGTCTATTTGGTTTGAATCCAAATTTTGGCATGCTTAAGAAAATATGCCATTTCAATAGTGAACTTAGGCTATTTTGGCTTCAATCCAAACACAATTTTGACTTACCAAAATTAGTCATGCCAAAACTTGCCAAAATTTGGCATTGACAAAATTTGGTAATACCTATTTAGGCCACAGACCAAACCAACCCCTCATCTCACAGCAATGTCAAAAGCTATTTCCCCTCCAAAACTAATTGTGTTTTACTCCCCTAAAATTGACCTTGAAAAAACTGTACAATTATTAAGCTCACATACTCTATTTGTCAGATAAATGGACCTGCACTTTACAGTGGCTGGCTAAACTGCGTCAGGCAGCTGCAACCTGGAAAAAGGCAAGCTGGTCCATGGTTTGGCAAATGATGCGGTGATGGTGATGGTAATAGTAGTAGTGATCTTACCGCAAGAAGAGGAGGAAGAAGAAGAGAAGCAGGGCCAAATCCTTGTCCTCTTTGGCAGCGTGACAACAAAAAGCTTGGACGAGGCATCATGTCGCGCCTTTGCCTTTCTCTTTCTTTACCTCTTCTTTTCACGCTAGCCCCCCTTCTCTCCCGCAGTTAGCGCAAGTTTGGACAGAGCAGCACCGCAGTTTAATAAAGTAGCCTCCACAAAATGTTGTTCAGACTTCCTAATTCCAGCATATTAAATCCTGGGAAGATAAACACGAATGGTTAAGTGAAACTGGTAGCAGGCTCTCTCAAGTCTCAAGTAAAGCAATGCTAAAACAGAACATCAGCTAGATGTTCATCCAGTCTAGCAACAAAGTACACAATGTTGCAGCAGAAGTTTTGAGGTTGGTCGTTGTTACTTAAACAGATGTCATTAGTTCCAAAAGGGAATTGCAAATAAGCTTTCCTTCTGCTTTGACGATTGTGTTAAATGGTTATCAAAGTTTTGTTCCAAAGCAAGGGCACAGTTGCAAAGGAAAAAAAAAACAAATAAAGAGATATAAAGACAGAGTAGGAGCATGAGGGGGATCATAGAAATTACTGCAACTTTGTTATCAGCCAGTAGTTTAACTCATCTCATCATCACAACTTTGCTTCTTTCAGTTTCATTGTCCATCCTGCTTTTTTAGGTTACATTATCAAGTATCCTGCACCAAGAAAAACATCAATGCCCATCAGTAGCTCAAAGAACTTAGTCAAAGTTGAGTCCAAAGAAAAGGCAGCAAAAGAACCTTGAGCAGTTGAGATCACAAAAGACGAAATTTTCATGAGCTCACATCTAATCGTGCTAAAACTAAGACTGGCTGCAGAAAACTTCCAATTGCTTTTTGGGCATTCATCCAATTCATTGTACAATTAAATTCAAAAGGTAAAAAAGAAAATCAATCGTAGCATTGCACCCTGCGCAGTCTAAGTTGTATGGGAGAACATGATGGTAAAAGTACGCCAGCAATCATGAAGTTCACTATAATCAAAGTACAAAAATAAAGTGATAAATCAGCAATGTAAAAGAACATGCCCAAGTGGAGATGGAAGTAGGCCGGCCCGGTGAGAAAAACAAAGGATTGCAGTAGGCAGAAATACGCAGGAACACATCAACAATGTGTATCTATGCAAATAGTCAGTGGGGCTGTCTTATGTTAGTATGTTCTGCACTAAAATCCACTTTAAATCTTAGCCTGGGTATGAACGGGCTACTAAGCTAAGGAATCAGTGACTTTAAAAGATAAAATGAATTCATATGTGATCAAGATTGTTTTGAAGCAAATATCTTCTATACTCTCGTATAGAGTGCATTTTTCTGTTGCTACAATTAGGATTTACAAAGCTAAAAAAATATTGCTTTCATGATGAAGTTTTGGTTCTTCAATAAGCTGAAATCCTAAGTATACCTTGCACGCAAAAACAGAAGACTAACATTTAACCTTTCAAGAAACCTTTCATTCCAATCAAATCTTTCATACCCTACTGACTGTAGCATCTCTACCACCATATTAAGGATGTGTTTAGTTTACGTCAAAATTGGAGGTTTGATTGAAATTGGAATGATGTGACGAAAAAGTTGGAAGTTTGTGTGTGTAGAAAAGTTTTGATGTGATGGAAAAGTTGAAAGTTTGAAGAAAAAGTTGGGAACTAAACCAGCCCTAAGATATAAAGCAATAGGTAGTGTTGGCTTTAGATTTTAGAATGCTTGACAGTTCATTCTTTTTGCTGGGCTGGCGATGCGTTCGTTGGCCGAAGTTTGTCAAGAGAAAAACGGTTGACAAATTTTCCAATGAGTTCAAATAGTTGCCTCGAGAATACTTTGTTCCGGTTTACCATCAGTGCCCAGCAAAGAGCTCTGCTTGCGCAAGAGCTCCTCCTTGTTGTGCGCTTTGACCTTCTCCATCCAGCTCTCTAGCAGTCCAGCTTATAGCTCGTTCTTTCATCTGTACATCATGTCATCATCATATCTCATTTGCAAAATGGGATGGAGTATAAGTTTGAAACAAAGTATGATGAAATAGGAGAACACATGTACCAACTCAATCATCAAAGAAACACATAGCGCAGGTCAGGTAAGCGTAAGATTTCCACTCAGGCAATTCAACAAACAAGTCATGTGCGAGGGGTGAACAATGTACCGGGGCCTTGCCCCGTGTACTGCTGGGACTCCAGTGGGGCGCAGGGGTTGAAGTCGAGAAGCCGCTTCATCACGGCGACCAACCACGTGACCGTCGTCTCCAAGCACGGCGCGAGGCGCGGTCCCCAGGCAAGGTTGCCCCCCTGCCGTCTGCCGGCCATCTCCGCTGACCACTCTACAGTTGAGGGAAGAAACGGCAGTGGCAGGTGCAATCGGCTGCTGGTGGGTGGGTAGGGTAGGACACATGGCTGGCCGGCGGGGATCATCGGCGGCGAGGCGGAAGAACGTCGTCGGAGTCGGATGGGCACGCCGTCGCTGAAGGCGTCGTGGGGGGGGGGGGGGGACTCTAGAGCAGTATCAAGGGCTTTTATGCTATAATCCTGACCGCTGAGGATGTTAACGGTTAAAATAAGGGATATTTATGCAAATATCTGGACTGAAAAGGGGGGCTTCTTAGAAAAGATCAGGACCTATATGTTGCTAGAGTTAATATCAGGGGTTTTTGTGAAAAACTCCGAGATTGGGTAGGCCTAGATGAACAGATAAAAGGCCCATATATTTGCGGGCCAATGTACCAGTCTTTCTCGTATGTTAGTGGGCCGGTTTGATTCCAAATTAAACTATGGGACGGTGTACTGTCTCAACGGTATAGTTTATAATTTATACTTACCAATCACTCACCGATTCTTTTTCTCTCTAAAAGCGTGTCGTGTGCTGTCCTTTCACATGGAGGCTGCCGACTAGTGATGACTGACGAGAGGTCTCTTTTCTCCTACAGTACAAAATAGCTATGAAATACTCTAATACAGCACTACTTCTACACCTCTTTAGGTCCATATGGGTCTGACACCTGGTTCAACTAGTAAAGTTAGAATTAAGCACTAGAGCTAGTAGCATGAGCCTAAACAAAGCATGTCAGCGGCATGTGAGCAAGTTTGGTTGTACTTTCTGGCCTAGCTATGCATGGTCCATCTTTTTATTTGATTGTTGAATAGAAGTATATAACCCATAAATATTAGAATTAGTGGTATCACATCTGAAGTCTCGTACCATCACACCCTATATTTAGTATCAGATCCTCTACTAATATGTATCAACCCGGTATCTAGGTATTAGATCCGTTACTCATAGGTATCAAACCCGACCTAGGTATCGAATCCGGTACTTATAGGTATCAGACCCAATACCTAGGTATTAGACTTGGTATTCATAGGTATCATACTCGGTACCTGGGTATCCGACCCAGTACGTACAGGTATCGGAACTGATACTCATAGGTATAAGATCATATACCCGATACCCGGGTATCCGATCTGATACTCATAGGTATCATGCGCGATACCGGATCCGATACTCATAAGTATCAAACCTGACCTAGGTATCGAATCCGGTACTCATAGGTATCAGACCCGATACTTAGGTATCAGACTTGGTATTCATAAGTATTATACTCGGTACCTGGGTATCCGACCCAGTACGTACAGGTATCGGAACTGATACTCATAGGTATAAGATCAGATGCCCGATACCCGGGTATCCGATCCGATACTCATAGGTATCATGCGCGATACCGGATCCGATACTCATAAGTATCAAACCTGACCTAGGTATCGAATCCGGTACTCATAGGTATCAGACCCGATACTTAGGTATCAGACTTGGTATTCATAAGTATCATACTCGGTACCTGGGTATCCGACCCGTTACACATAGATATTGGAACAAATACTCATAGGTATGAGATCAGATACCCGATACCCGGGTATCCAATCTAGTACTCAGGTATCAGACGCGATACCTAGTTATCGGATCCGGTACTTATAGGTATCAGGCCGGATAACTCAGCATCAGATCTTGTATTTATAGGTTTCATACCTGGTACCTAGGTATTCGACCCAATACCTAGATATCAGATATGATAATCTAGCATCTATGTATCACATACTAGAGTTTCTAAGATGTGGTATAACTAAGAGCCCAACATGACATATCTAATTAGAATAATCCATTGTATCCATGTATAATCTAGGTAATTATTTGTCTGGTCTAATCCGTGCATGGTATAGGACACAACAAATAGATGCAACTCATCTTAGACACGTAGCTAGGCTACTAGGCTCCGCCATAATAAGTACCCTACATAGCTAGGGTACAGGTCTACTAGTAGCTATCTGGGTTACCCTGATACGGCTGCATAGTCACGTATCCGTATCGGATACGGCAACGGATACGGATACGTATCGGATACGCTCCGATACGTATCCCGTACGTATCCCACATATTTGCGATTTCCAAAAAAATAAATAAATCACGATACGCCAGCGATACGCCACGACCTTCCTCCGTCTTCGCTCGCATCAGGGATGCGCCACCTCACGAGCTTCCAACCTGATGGCTGATGCCTCTCGTGCGTGCCCGGCGTTGCCGCCGGACGCCGGCTGCAGCCGCGCGCGTCGCTGCCGTGCGCGGGGCCACAACGTCCCCTACGCGAGACGGCAGAGCCGCCGCCGCCAGCCTGGTGGTGGCGCACCTCTTTTGCCGCCAACCTCGAGGCCAGAACTGTTGCCGGCTTGCCGCGTGACTGCGTGAGGCACTTCCTCCGACGCCGGCCGCCGGGCATAGCGGTGGCCAGTGGCAGGCTAGTAGCATCGAAGCACGGAGCAACTTTTTCTTTCTTCGCTTGACTGCCTGGCCGGGTAATCCATTATCTTCAAAAGTTTCATGCTTGAATCTGCTGTGCCTTTCTTGTTTTCCTTAGGACAAAGTACTATCGTTTTTATTAGATACAAGTGCTAGTGCATCTAGCAATCCTAGAGGTTACTGCTTAGTGCGGCTTCTAATGTTGATGCAAAGTCATCAAGAAATATATGATTGAACTATTAATATGTGGTTTTTGGGATCTTAATCGCTTGTTAATTTGAATTGCTTATAGAAGAGAAAATTGCAGAATATTGATATGGAATCTGCTACACTGATACTAGTATTATATCGCTATTTCTTTATAAAAGTTCCTTGATTTTTTGTATTTTTTTTATATATAAATGCAATTTCCTTAATTTTTTTTGTGTATATATATATATATATATAGGACACTCATATGGGGCACCATGGTGCCCGGGCACCATGGTTTCAAATGCACAAAATCACTCAAATTTTTCAAAATTTTCTAATTGTGAGTATATACCTAGTTATAAGAATTTGATTCGTACCTATACCTATCAACAAAACAACTCAAATTTAACTTTATTTCACAATCCATGATTACATACCTAACTAATTATATGTATGGATGCTATATACCTAGAATCAAAATCTAACAAAAATAAGTTCAAATTCAGTTCAAACTTGCTTTGAACTAGTTAGTAAAAGTAGTTAATGTTAATACCTAAATAATTAAAAAAGTTTCATACTCATTTGAATTGGGTATATACTCAATTTCAACAATGGTGCCCGGGCACCATGGAGCACCAAACAAATTTACTATATATATATATATATATATATATATATATATATATATATATATATATATATATATATATAAAAGCGTATCCCCGTATCCTTGTTTTTTTGGAAAATGCCGTATCCCGTATCGACGTATCGTGTATCCATATCCGTATCCCCGTATCTAGGTAACGTAGGTAGCTATTACAGGGATTTGGCATGCACAACAAGCTAGTAGTACCTCCAGTTTTATTTACTAGCTAGGCTAGTATCAAAGGCATGACTTAGGCATGCTGGGTACTAGCTAGCTGTCAGGAACAAGACTATACACTGATACACACAACAAACCTGCGTGATGATAATTCTAGCAGCACACGACATACTCGGGAGAAGCCGGCACGCGGGGCCGCGGCATGAGGGATAAGTGGTATACTGTTCAACGGTATACCGTTGTGTAGTCTTTCTCTATCATTGTTAACAATGATAACGATTCATATTCCGAGCTTAGTCTTTCAAGTTACAAACACGTAACCGCTCAGAAATAGATTTATTCTCGGTTGTTGTTAGCATGATTTTAAAACTAATAAACGGTGTTTATATATATATAATATCAAATAAATCTATTTTTTAGTTTGTAATAATTAAAACTCAATTAATCATATGCTAATGTCTTTCTCGTTTTGCTTGCTGTGACTTCATCTTCTTTTTAATCAATCTCAAACACAACCAGCATATTTGTTGATATTTCCTACTATCTCCAATCTAAAATATAATAATTTGGTATTAGATGAGACATCCAGTTCTATGTTATTATATTTTGGAATGTAAGGAGTAGAAGATTACGCCGGAGGACCAAATGACTTCTCCTATGATTAGCTGCTACCTGTTCTAATTATATCTCCTTGGTTCTCCATCCATGACTGGGATAGGGCTCCATCCATGACATGGGATACGATATACGAGTTCACTTGTAGTAGAGCAGTAGAAGAAGCCATCAGCTGGGGCGGGACTTTCTCTATCCCTCTCGCGATACTCTGAGATCCATTGAGAGTTTTTCCTCTTTCTTCTTGACCCCTTTTCCTCCTCCTCCGATCCGGTGGTTCGCCGCTGATGAGGGTAGGGAGAGGGGTTGGCCTCCTTACCCTTAGGCGATAGGATGGTCGGATATATTCCGTGTAGGGTTCATTCCGTTTTCCTTTTGTGTGTAGTGCAAGGGATTCACCGGCGTCGAGCTCCCTTGTTCCGGTGGTCCTCTATGGAAGGTGCTGCTGAAGATCTCCTTAGTTGTTGCCTGCTTTTGGGTGGCTTCCAGGTTTGCTCTCACGTTGTTCGCTGCTTGAAGGGCAATAAGTCTGCTTCTCCGGCAAGCAGGTTGGTGTTTCTGTTGAAGGTGATGCCAGCCATTCTAACCAACTCCGGCAAAGTTGCTACTAATGTGGTGAGCCATTTCATTGCTGTCGACGTTCTTCAATGTGCGACTGTATTCTTCCTATTCTTTTTGTCGTGCGTCAACTTCCGCCTTGTGTGGTGAAAGCCCCGTATGGTTTTACGGCTTGGAGCTCTATTTTACAGTCTCCCTTGCTTTCGCCGTCGTTGTTGATGTCGGTTTCGTTGTCCTGGTCACCAGATTAGAGGAAGAAGCAGCGCAAGGACCAGATCGCTTTTTTTTTTCCTTATCTTTAGAAGTCCTTTGCTTTTTTCTAGGCCCTTTTGCATTTTTCTATCTTTTAGGAGTTCTTTTGCAATATGTGCTGTATGTTTACCAGCCCGTATGCTTGTGGGCATACTTGTCAGCTTCTCTTTTTTGGGCTTGCTCTCCTCTTACTCTATGGAAGTTGTATCAACTCATCATATAACGTGCTATTAGCCTTAAATAAAATCA